TGTGATATTTCCGCAGGATTGAATACCCACTGAGTAGTAAATAGGAACTAAATATTGACATATGGAACAATACAGATGAACCTAAAAGACTATGCTAAGTGAAGGAACTCATACTCAAGAGTTTATATATATTGTATGATTCCATTCTTGTGAAATATTTTAAAGGCAAAACTATAGATAAGAAAGATCAGTGGTTGCCTGGGGCTGAGGTAGGCACAAAGACTGACTTCAAATGGGCATGTGAAAATTTTTTTGAGTGATAGATATGTGCTAAAACTAGACTGTGGTAATAAATGCATAATTATATGCATTTGCTTAAAATCATCAAACTGTAGACTTAAAACAGGTACGATTATGGTCTGTAAACTGTATCTCAATTAAGCTGAAAAACAAAAAACCCAAATTGAAAAAGATATATCATCTCTAGCTTCATGAAGATCATATCCTTTAAAAAAGTTATTTTGATCACTGAATTTCATGGTTATTGAACTGACTTACTGACATTAATTCATTTTTGGCATGCTAGTGTAAATCAATCATGCCAAACTCGGGTGGTAAAAGAATGCCATTGTTCAGGGAATATCGGACAGGCTTCTGTCTAAGGGAAAGGGAGTAGCAAAGCATAGTAGATGCTACAAAGCTCCAGAGGAAGCAATAAGACCTAGTAAAAGAAGGACAGGGCCCAGGAAAGGTAGCTAATGCTGGTTTAGCATTCCCATCCATACCTAGGGATGGGGGCTGAGAATAAATCATCAGGTCTGAGGTACTGAATAATGCATGGTCCAGAATCCAGGTCAGGGGCTGAGGAGCAATACATCAGGGGCTCAGCCATAGAGCTGCATGAGGCCTGGCTGGAACAGTGAGAGAGAAATTCTAGGCTTATGTTGATTGTGTAACCTAATGCTGGCAAGAGAGCTTGTTATTGAGATATGAGCACATGCATGTAGGGATGTGGGTCATAATTATGAATTCAGAAAATGTAGCTCCCGTATCGATATATAACCAAAGGGACTGCGAGCCAGATACTTCAAATCCATTGTTGTAGACGGGATGTAGGAGGAAAGCAAAAGGAATATTGTTTTCCTTAGCACCTGGGTTTTCAGTTTTCTGCGATGACCTCAAAGTAGTGGTTATTAAGGGTCATTATCACCCAACCACAAAGCACTACTCTAACCTCGCTGAGGCAGCCAGAAGCAACTTGGCTGGCTCAAGATGAGATTCTCATGTTCTTATTTCCAAGGCTCTGTGACATGACATTAGTTGAGCTGCCAAATGTTCACAGATCATTTTGTATCATGTGGAGAAGTTCTGAAGCATATCTCACATTTAAGTTATTTGAAGAGATGAAAATTATTATCGTTCTTTTACATATGGCACTTTCCTAAGAAAAAAGGCAAAAGATAGCCAATAAGAGCACACATTTAGGAATCAGCTATGGTGTGTATATGTGTGTGTGTGTGTGCATGTATGCATTCCTTTATTTAGTATCCCTGTCAAGCTACAGAATGGGGTGGGCAGGAAGTAGAAAAGTTGCTCATGAATCTTTGCGATGGGGCAGGGCAGAAGCAGCTTCAGGTCATAACTTATTCCCTGGTTGAATGCTGGCAGCTGTGGAGGAGGGGGATCCAATGGCTGCTGCAGCCACACCTGGGTGTGCAGTAGAAGGGCAACCAAAGGGGTCAATGAATGTGCCTGTCGAAAACACTGTACTAAATTTGATGATGCCAAGTGAATTCACCATTTATGGAATAACTACTGTGTTCAGGATCCAGAGCTACAAAAGACGGAAAATGTCCCCGACCTTGAGGGTCACGCAGTCCTGGGTGGAAGTGCGTGGTTTGGGGTGAAGGATAGTAGGACACGTGAAGAGATATAGCCATTTAAAAAATTCTTTCCAATGATAGACAACTGACCTGAGGCTTCTTTGCAGGGTGAACAGAAGTTAGATTTATATAATCCAAAATTCTGTTGGCAGTCACAGCAAGCCCTCAAAGACTTGCAGGAGAATGACAACCTAGTTTATCCACCTTGACATACATGTCAAGGCCGTGGGGAGGTTCTGCTCTTCCTAGAAACCATACTTGCTTAGTTCATCCATATGTGGGAAGAGGGTAAGTTGATTAAAGTTAAAGAATAAGGGTTTTCTTGGTTCTGCTTATCACTAATTGCATTATCTTTATTTGAAGTGGATTTGTTATACACATGTAGTTGGGTGTTGTTTTTTTATCCACTCTGGCAATCTCCGTTTTGTAATTAGTGTATTTTGACCAAAGTTACTACTGACATAATTGGATTACTATCACATCTGTAACTTCTCTATTCATTGAACTGTTTTTTTGCTTTTTCTGATTTTGAACATTTTACATCATTCCGTTTTATCTTTTAATATTAATCACATTTCCTTTATATTGTTTAGCCACATACAACTTATCTAAGTCACCTTCAAATAACGTTATGCTGCTTCACGTGTAGTGCCGTCTACTGTTAAGCCCATCAAAAAAATTCTTAGTTTGTTATATCGTTGTGGATTTCTGGCATTTCCTTTTGATTTTTCTTAGAGTTCCCATCTCCCTGCTTACATTACCCACCTGTCCTTTCATGGGGTCTACTTTGTCCATTAGAGCCCTCAACTTAGTGAAAGATTTTAAATTCCTTGTCTGATAACGCCATTTGTTCATATCTGAGTCTGGTTCTGATGTGCTTTAGTTTTTTCATCTTCTAGCACAGCTTGCAATTTGTTAGAATCCAGACATATGTACCAGGTAATTGGAGCCAAGGTTAAGACATTTAGCGTGAGGACTTACGTTAGTGTGGTAGGGGTTGGGCTGTTTGGTGTTCGCTCTGTGTAACTGTGCCAGAGGCTTCCGGTTCCTCAGGTGTCCTTGCTGCCTCTCCTCTGCTATCTCTGAACTTCCCTAAAAACCCTCCTTAGTCTGCATCATCAGCCCTTTCAGCTGTAACTCACTGCTACATGTGGTAGCAAGGTGTTGGGGAGGAAGTGTCCTGTGATTTTAATGATTAAATCTCAGTCTTCTACTGGGCCTGTGTCTATGGGCTGTGACCTTCACAAAAGTCTTAGCATTTTCCACCCCTGAGGTAAGATAGGAAAGCCTGCGGGGCTGGAACTGGGTGAGTGTCCTCCTCTCCTGTGGGATAAGACTCTGGAAGCCTTTTCCCCTAGATAGTAGAACTCTGTTACAGAGAATGTTCTGGGTGTATTCTCAGTATGGTTGCCTTTCTTGAGAACTCCACCTGCCAAAGCCAGCAGGGGAGTTTTCTTCACTTTTCACCATAAGAAATGGGTGGGGTTCCTGCAGGTAAAACTCATGAAAATCTGGAGAATGCCCTAAGACTGTGGCCTCCAGTTTTTCGCTCTCAGGCCAGCCCGCATTCAGCCTCCAGAAGTTTGTCAAAATTACCATACGTGATCCTACCAGTTTCTGGCTCCAGCACCTTCTACTCTATGTAAGCTGGTATCAGCTGTGAATATTCACCCCTCTCTCCAGATTTCAGGATAGTAATTTGATTTGTAACCTCGGTGCTCTGACGAGCATAAGAACAGCTGTTAATTTTCAGTTTTGTTAACTTTTATCTTGTTGTAAGAATAGGAGTGACAACTTCCAAGCTCTTCACACATTGGACCTAACACCAGAAGTATAGTTGTATAATCTTGAGCAAGTTCACTTTTCTGAATCCATCTCTTCCTTTATGGTATGGAGATCATAAACATTATATGTCTACTTCCTATCATTTACATTACAATGCTTTATAAATAAAGCACTATACTAATATAAGGGGTTATTATCAATTTGTCAACATCCATCACAAATTTTTGGAACTGTCACCATGAAATGTCTATTAAGTCAGGAATTATATTTCTCAGTTTCCTCTGAAATTCTTCTGTGCCTCAAGAATGAACTAGAACACGTGTCCCAATTCCCCAACTGGTCCATAACCTCTGTGCTCTTGACCCTGAGGCTCCTGGACACGATGATGTCATAGAAGGCCAAAACCCCTGCCAGTAAGGAACAGACCACTGGATTAAGTGTGCAAGAAATAATCCAGGTATTATATCACTGAAATCTTGAAATTTGTTATAACAGCTAATGTTATCTTCTCTAATAAAGAAATTGATATCTGAATATTGGAGCTGCAGTGACAGAAACTCAAAATACCTGACAACAGTTTAGTGGTTAGAAACTGGATGGCAAAAAAAAAAAAAAAAAAAAAGATAGCATAGGCTCGAAAGATTGAGACTCATGGTACACTGTGGTGAAATACTGAGCAAAACTACCACCTATGATAACATGGATGACAAAGAGAAAACAGAGGCCAGCTGCCCATCTCCTCCTGGAGACAGAAGGAAAACTGCAGTGGAGGACAAGAGGCTGTGTGATTCTGGGTGGGAGGGTGCTGTGCAGGGTAAGAGGCTACAGTGGGTAAGGGTGGTGGTGGGGAAAGTATGTTTTGGACATACTGTGAAATGTCCAGATGTTCTGGTGATCTCTTGTTGTTTGGCAAAAATTGTTAGGAAAATGACCCAAATGCCACAGAAAAATGACCTAAATCTAAAATCCAGAGGGCTACATGGTAGAGGAGGTACCCTGGTGTCCAACCTTTACTTCTGAAAGAAAACAGTATTTTTTAAAATTAAGACTAACCTTAAGGCCTCCAATTGACATACATTATTCACACTGTTACAGTTCAAATTGGAAAGAGGTAATCAGCTCATTGGGCGTGAAATGATTTTAACAAGACTTTGCTAAAACTTTATAGAAAAATAACTCATGTTACATCCTCTGCACCAGTTGAGGATGAAAGGCTAGCACATGGACTGCCCTTCATCAGTCGTGGTTAGTCACACTTGGGCCTTACTATCCCCGCTTCCATGGTCTTGTCACTAGCAGCCATCAGAGCAGGCCTGCACTGCCCAGCACTATTGCCAGACCTCAGGGACCATGCGTGGCCACAGAAAACCTTCCCTAGAACTGCAGTGCATGTCAGGTTTGGCACATATTTTTATTTTACTTTCACATTTACAGACTCAGGCAGTCTTTCTGAGAAAGGGAAGGCTGAAGCTGCCTGGAAGGAAAGCTGGGCCCATGAGCACTGTGTTGAGTTGGGCACTTGGGTCTTTTCACAGGGAAACTGTCCGGTATCCCAAGGACCCTCGCTGTCAGATGGCATGTGACATGGTGGCCATGGCTTGCTCCTCAGTGCCTGGGAGATGTGTTATTGGAGGCTGCCTGGGCCCAGGATTTTATTGCTGGTGAACCTCATTATCCAACTTGGAGTCCAGGATGATGGCATTATCAGAAACAGGTCCAGTGGTGAGCACTTTGCTGAGATGAAAAAATAAAACATGTAAACTGCACTGACTCTGCAACGTTGGCATATTGCCCGTGCTGGCCTTCACAGGTAAGAAGCCCCTGTCGCTATCCAGACGGGACAAAGACAAGAGAAAACAATAATCAGGATGGACATACCTAAATCTACAGCTGCCTGAGCTCCAGAACCCAGCCAGCTCTTCCTTTTCCATGCCATGTTCCCTTTAAGGTCCCCAAAATGTTCTCAGGTCGAAAGAATCTATACTGCCCTCACTTTCCAAAATGGTATCTCTTGGGCTGAATAAGATAATCACTCAGCAGGCAGACATTCAGAAACAGGGACTAGCAGTATATAGGCGTATACTCTGGAAAGATGGACTGCCAAAAAGTGCCCTTGGCTCACCCCTGAATTTCACAGGAAGAAGACAGCTGTGGAAAGAATGGTTTGCCTGTGAATATAGCAGCGCCAGGATGAAAGCCAGAGATGTAATTTTATTACTCAGATGTGGTCCTGCATTAGCCCCTGTGATTTCTGTAGGCCATCAGCTTCTCGTGTCTCTTGATGGGTCGGAGTGCCATCCCTGCAGTCTCCCAGTGACAGGCAGGACCATCCTATCACCAGGGAAGCTGCGACTGCACCTGCCTCCTTGACAGCTGAAGGAAACGACTCCTAACGCCATATAATTTTTCCTCCAAGTCTGTTAGACAGCAAATATTTAGTTATTTCCCCTTCTAAGGAGAGAAAAGACCTAATGGCATTGGTAGCGGGGGGTGAGGCCCTCAGTGCACCAGATGTTCAAACTAAGCCATAATGGTCAGGGTGCAGCTTCACCAGCTGAGGCACACGCGGGTCCGTGGGAGACTCAAGAGTCTTCAAAGGAGCGTGATGGAGGAAGCGTCATTTCTGTGCTCAGATCTCCACCTGCTTAGACTCTGGTCTAACAAAGACACCTGTATTCATAGTCCTACACATTAGTTTAGCAAGAAATCTGGCTTCTGATACCCAAAGAGCTTAAAGTCCCCTTCGAAACGGGCATACAGACGCCGGATGTCTCGTTTGCTGACACCCAGAAAGTAGAGCTCCACCTTGGTTTTATTATACATGGTGATGCCCGGCGGGATGGTGGGATACGACACCAGGTGGTCTATGCCAGCCTCCTTTAAGATGTATGGGGCGTCGTCCTCTAGGGTCTCGTGGTGACCAATCACACTGTACGTTATCTCGCAGGGCGCACACAATTCTACATACGTCACCCAGTGAATGATGTGGTCGCCAAACTGAAGGTCTAGCCATCTGTGGTTTGGGTCCCCAAGGTAGCGCACAAAATCTTCAAACTGGATGCCCCTGGTCTCTGTCCGGTTCCGCCTGTATTTCCTGATGATGCCAGGGGCAATCTCATGCCTGTACCAAGGTTCGAAGCGAGGGTTGTGAACAAATTTATCCTTAAAAGCAGAAATCAGTCTTTCGAAGGGATCCCTCACGATAAAAAACTTGAAGTATGTTTTCAAGCTAAGGAAAAAAAAGAAGACAAACAGGAGGTTAAGCCAATGCTGTTGGTGGTGACGGTTAGGAGGGTGGGAGGAGTGGAGAGTAACAGCTGGAGCAACAGCATGAGGGTTCCCTTTTCTTGAACCCTCACCCAGGCCAAGCCCTGACACGAGTACACCACAGGCATCTCTTATATAATCCACTCGACCACCACTGAAAGCCGATCCTGTTATTAACTCATTTTACAGGTGAGGGATGGAGGTTCAGAAACTTTAACTGTCCAAGGCCAGAGGACTCATCCTTGGGGGCCACTTTGAAAACATCTATTTAGCCTGTTTTGTTTTACTTGAATATTTCAAAATTTCAAAAACACTGAAAAGTTTTGTTCCTGGGAAGAAAATCATTAAGTGCAAGAACTCTGAATGAGTTAGGAACAGCTGAGGCCAGAAAAAGTTACTTTAAGGGTATATCTTTAAAAATTCAATTGAAAATTACCAAGAGAAGGAAAAATACGGAGCAGGGGTAGAGAAAATGAAGAGCAAGGTTCCAGGCTCCAGCTAGCAGAGAAAGCTGCCAGTAGCAGCAGTGGTGGTGCAATGGTACTGGTGAAGGGCCTATAGCAGTGATGATGACAACAGGAAAATGAGAACACAGTTGTCATTACGGTGTGCTTCTTCTGCACCAGAACAGCTCTCAGTGCTCTGCTCTCACAAATCCCCAGAAAGCGAGTGCTTAGCGGGTGACAGGGCAGCCCTGACCAGGAGGGTATCTGACCTGGCACTCAAGAGCTGTTTTGTACAGGTTGGGAAGACAGCGTAACCAGGGCCAGAAGCAATGAAAAGAAGGCGAAGAATAAGAAGTCAAAGTACCGCTGGTCCCTGACATTCTTATTCCTTTTGAACCTTGTTCTACGGGGCCATTTCATATCTAGTAAAAAGATCTTTTCGATTTATCAGCTAAGTAATTTTTTGAATGCCATTGTTCACCCTTGCTGTGATTGCTGGGGTCTGTCTCTTGCTGTCTGTGCTAGGTCCCATCCCCGCCATCACTCCTGGGCAGCTACTGTGGAAGTAGGCATAATGACTTTGGGAAAATTGAAAAACTAAGTGGGGTTTCCCTGCCACCTAAATCCCTTTCTCATGAGAGAATGATCATAATCAGTAAGGAGTCCATAAAATACAACCAAAGCAGAACAAAATCAACCACTCATTTCTATTAAGAAAATGATCAAACCTTCATTTTAAAGGACTGCGTGAAAACAAACAATCCAATTAAAAAATAGGCAGAAGATCTAAACAGATACTTCTCCAAAGTGGAAATAGAGATGGCCAATAGACATATGAAAAAATGCTCAAGGTCACTAATCATCAGAGAAATGCAAACTAAAACCACAATGAGATATCACCTGACACCTGTCAGAATGGCTACCATCAATAAGTCAAAGAACAAGTATTGGCGAGGATGTAGAGAAAAGGGAACCCTCATACGTTGTTGGTGGGATTGCAAACTGGTACAGCCACTATGGAAAACAGTCTGAAGGTTTCTCAAAAAATTAAAAATAGATATATCTTTTGACCCAGCAATTGCACTTCTGGGTATTCAACTAAAGAAAACCAAAACAATAATTCGTAAAGACCTATGCACCCCAATATTCATGGCAGCACAACTTACACTAGCCAAGATATGGAAGCAACCTAAATGCCCATCAACGGACGATTGGATTGGTTCGTATATACAATGGAATATTAGTCAACCATTAAAAAAAATGAAATCCTACCATTTGCAATGACATAGACGGACCTAGAGGTTATCATGCTGAGTGAAATAAGTCAGAGAAAGATAAATACCATACAATTTCACTTAGATGCGCAATCTAAGGAACAAAAAGAACAAACTAATCAAAAACAGACTCACAAATATAGAGGACAATTTGGTGACGGATAGAGGGGGCTGGGAGAATGGGGTGAAGGGTTAAAGATATACAAATTAGTAGTTGATATATGGTCACAGGGATGGGGAGCACAGCATAGGGAATGCAGTTAGCATTAATATATTGGCTAGGTAGAAAACCAGAGGAGAGAAGAAGCAATTAGGGGGATCATTTTACCAACTATATAAATGTCTAACCAATGTACTGTATACTTGAAACTAATTTAAAAAAATAAAAGACTGCATGCAAGTGAGGGTAGAGAGATGTTTTGAAACTGTCATCAAGATTTTTGAATTTAAATGCACTAAACACTGGGCACATGCTCAGCTGTCTCTAACCAACACAAACCAACAGCCCCCAGGAGTCCTTGGAGCATTTGGGGATACACGGCAAATATAGAAGGAGCATCAGGTTTTATCAAAATCCCCTTCCCTGTGGGAACCAGGCCCTACCGCTTCTGAATTTCTGCATCACTAAAGGAGGAAAGACGAGGGAGGCCGTTCTTCTCATGGTCGTGAACCACATTTTCAGGGATCTCTTCGATGGAAGGAAAGGCTCCTGGGAAGTAAACAAAAGAGAAGGTGAGTTGGCCATCTCAGTGCCACTCTTAAAGAAGATGCCCATCTCTTAACATGAGCTCTTGTTCCCCACAAGCCATCCCCAAAATCTGGGGATTTTGAATTCCAACTGCATCTGCTGGCAGGATGAGAAAGTAAAGAAAGTAATCCACAGGTTATCTAGAGGAAACAGACGAGTTAGGAGGAAGAGAGAGAGGCAGCACGGGGTGGAAATAAGGACAATACCTACCCGTGGCAACACACCCAAACTGGGTTAAATCTGCCCTGAAAGAAAGATTACTGAATGCAAACAGTATGCCCAAAACCAACAGCACTTATTCTCCTATTAAACTAGGGGAGATGGGTAACCTCACAGCAACCTAGACTGGCAAGTGGCAGAGATGTGCTGGAACAATCTGACTAATGTCGTGAGATTGATGTGACACATTTGAAGCAGGGGTCAAAGAGGACAAGGAGTGACTAAGGAGAAGGCAGAGTAGGATCAAGAGCTACAGTGTGTCAAGCCAGGCTGATTAATGGAACCTGGGGGGGAGGTCTCATCCTTGGATTGATGGGTTGGGCAGGTTTTTTCTCTTCTCAACTTAGACAAGTGGAAATAAAGTGTCATCATCAGAGGTTTTAGCCAAGTGTCTGTAAACCTTCATATCCATCTCTGTTAATGCTATTGTCACACCTGGAGTCTAGTTGGAAGAATCTCTGTTGGGCCACCTAGGCAATGGCCACAGCCTTGTCTGTTTCATTCATTCCTCCCCCAAATATTTAAGCACCAGTCCATAAGTGCTGAGGATGGCTGTAGAATGAACCAGCTCTGTGGCTTTGCTCCTGGACCTGCTCAGGTGTGTCTAGGGATGATGGAAGACAGCCACAAGGACTGCCCATTTTTCTATTACATCACCTGACAAACCTGCTTTTTTTGTCCTGCTCTTGTGAGTGTTCACTTAGCCTTTAAAGTCTAATGCTTCATACTGTGGTGCCAGATTTGTACTTTCACATAACGGTTGTTTTAAATTTGATTTGTAACCTCATTCTACGATGTCTCAACATGCTGTCAGATTACTCAAGAAGCATATCAGAAAATGAAGCCAGTATCTTTTTTCTCCCCCAACCAACCAGTGAAAAGGCCAAATGACAGCAAACTCTGACCAGCGACTCTGACAACAGGAGCAGCAGTGGGGGCTGAAGGACAAAGACCCAGGGCCACCTTCCATGGTTCTCCCAGGTCTGATTCATGACCCAGGAGTCACACTGCTGTCAACTGGAATTCTGTTTCTTTGAAAACTGAATTCAACAAGGCCCATAGCTATCTTGGACCAGTTCAGAGTAAGTGGAGTTTAAACTAATAAACACATTTTCCGAAAACAGTGGTGAGTAGTCAAAACATGTACTGTATGAGGCCACTTTTCAGTGATCTAATATGTTCCTGAGAAAACATCAGATTTCCTGAAGCAAGTCAGTTAAGTCCTCTGACTATGGATGCTCAGTGTAAAACGGGGACTGTTTCTATCTACTCAAGTGGCACAGAACATATTGTCCATGGGTGAAGAGGCCCCCACACCCACTGGCAGGGTTCCCATCCCAGGCACGGGGTGTGAGCCCTTCTCACTACAGGAAAAGCGGTCGTGAGGCAGCTTCCTGGTGCTCAGTGTGTGTGCAGCCTTGACTTCTGAGGACAGAGCCAATAACCAGTGAGGATTACTGCAGTGACTCTGAAGAGAAGAGGGATCTGCTGAGTGGGCAGGTTGCCTGAGATGGGGGCTCTGCTATGGAAAGAGAAGATATGGTGACCTCAGGGGTAGCCTTTGAAAACATCAGTATCTAAAGTAACACCACCAACTTCTAAAGTAGGACACTTTAGAAGGAAAAACAAAGAACTTTCTATAAGGTCACCAGCATTCTCAGGAGACAGCCCTTCCTATAGCCCCTCCCTCATCCAGGCCATAGCGACATTCCCGGAGCAAACCTTGACAGCCATGACAACAGGTACACACTGGCCGAGGCACGTACCATTTAACACGATCAGCACTTTCTTCCACTGGGTGTTGCCCACTTTGGGAGTCTGGCAGAAAAGGATCTTGTGCTTGTCACAGACAAATATGCGGTCGAGGACAAACTTGGACACTGCGGTGTGTGAGAGGTTCCTCAGGGCCTCTTCCCGGCAGACGTTTCGGATGAGCTCCAGGCGCTCCATATAGACCAGGGGCTGGGCTAGCCGGCTATCCAAAAGCATCTTCCCAGTAGGCTGCAGGTAACAGGGCGGCAAAAGGGGCACAGGGCTTCATTAGTAGAAAACAGGATGTCCCCTGGAGGCCCTCTTTGCCCTCCTGGTGGACACTCATGCAGAGTGCTGCCCTCATAGACACCGCAGAGCTCTGTGGGCCTGCTTCGCCCTCAGGGGCCTGGCATGCAGGATCCTTGGATAAACTGGACCACAGCTCAACCAGAAACAGCGACTGCTCTTGTTCTTTCATCTTCGACTTGCACAAACCGAGGAGCGGGTGTGTGGGCTGTCTTCCTGTCACTCCGCTGATGGCATTATGACACATAATTTCCTGGAAACGGCAGGATACTTTTCACTCAGGGATTTTAGTGAAGGCCAGTTTCTGTCCCCTTCATTCTTCCTAGCATTTCCCTCCATGTGATTCTGAGTATGCGTATGTGGACTGTCTCTAAGGACAGCTGTTCACACACGGTGAGTGTTTTGAAGATATTGTGGTATAAGAGAATAACTGATTTACTAACAAAACAATAACAAAATTCAACCTTGGGTCATTTGGTATGTTTTAAAAATGCACTCCTCTCCTCAGTGACAAGCACGTGATGGTACCTCTCCGTAGTACTAGGTAAGGGCAGGGGAAGGGTTTTGTTTGGCAGTCATGTCAGCCATACAGAAGTCCGCCCCTGTGAGCAAGTGCTGGAGCATGCCAGCACTGGCTGTTCTCCAAGGAGTCATCAAACCCGGTGAGAAGACCTACCACATGAACTGTGGAGTGAAGGCTTGGCTCTGATGCCAGAAAGCCCCGTCCACCAGGCCAGTGGGCTAAAACCAAGCAAGGGCAAGTGTGCTGGCCGCCTCCATGAGCCCCAAGACCACAGGGAGAGCTGGGAGCACAGCCTCAGGCTGGATTTCTGAGCTTGGGGTCCAGGCTGCATGAGGGAAGGGATGCATTCCTTTTATTAAGATGTCTCCAGTTTCGAAGTGTGGTTTGATCATCTGAGTTACCTGAAATAGGTCTTTGAACACCTTTTTTCCTCTCGAAAACAACAGTGTAGTTGGTGTCACTTCTAACTCACATGTAGCTAAGACAGGTCCTATGTTGCCTTCACACGGAATACAATTCGAGTGAAAATAAATTGAGTCACAGCTTTCCCCACAAAATTCTTGAGCAGGGACTTCATTTGTATGTTGAATACTGTGGAGGGAAGTCTACACTCAATTGTCATTTCTTAGTAGGCAACTCATTTTTAATTCCTAGGGGGCTTGTAGTATTTTTTCCTATGATTCTAGCACTTGCAATGTTTTGCCAAGATATATCAGTGTGGGTCTCTTCACTGACTTTGCATGGAATACAGCGAGCCCTTTCTGTCTATATCCTTGGCTCAGGAAATGCCTTTGCTCATGACATTTGGGTGGGGGTGGGGCTCAGTTAAAAAGGAAGGAGAAGTCTTGTTAAGTTGGGAAGCCAGTATGAAAGGTACTCCAGCATTCGCCCACAGGGACTAAAATCTGGTACAATGGGCTGCCAACCAAAATCCCACCCTTCTTAACTTGAGTTACAGAGAAACAGAACTGTGTGCTTATCCTGATGAATAGAGTCATAAAGAACATATATAACACCTCAGTGAATGGTTTTTAAAAAAGAAATATACAAAAGTTGACGTTTTTCTTTTGACTTTTTAAATATAAAAAGTAACATAAAAGCATATTTGACTTTTTAAATAAAAAATTGATTTAAAAATACTGGCTGGGGGAGGTGCACCTATGAAGACTTCTGGGAAGTTCTAGAAAACACTTCAACATCCTCTGTGAATCGTTTTTACCGCATTTGGGTATTTTCTGCAGCAAAAGGCAGCTCTGCAAAGACAGCAGAGCATTTTTCTCTCTACTTTCAGTCCCATCTTCCACTAGGTAGAAGCCACAAGCCTCTACCAGAGCCCCTCCAGACTTCCCTGCAAGACTGGCCTGTCCTTTTCTTATCCACAGGC